CCCGCCTCTGTTCAAAGATGGTTGCGCACAGTGGACCTAAACACAAACTGAACAATGTGGTGTATGCTGTACAGTGCGGCGAGGAATGCCCAGACCTCTACATCAGAGAGACCAAACAGCCACTTCACAAGCGCATGGCACAACACAGAAGAGCCACCTCCACGGGACAAGACTCAGCAGTCCATCTGCATCTTAAGGATAAAGGACACTCTTTCGAGGATGCCAATGTTCACATTTTGGACAGAGAGGACAGATGGTTTGAAAGAGGAGTGAAAGAAGCCATCTATGTCCACTGTGAGCAACCATCTTTGAACAGAGGCGGGGGTTTATGACACCAACTGTCTGCCATCTATAATCCAGTTTTGAGATCCCTTCCCAGACGCCTTAACACCCATTTACACCCTGGGCCATCTGACCTCAGGAAATCTAATGATAAGATGGGGCCAGGTTTCACAATGAGCTCACCCAAAACCCTAGCTGATTAGGACCCACACCCGCTTTCACACCTTGGCTCATGTAATTAGGTAGAGGATCATCAGGGGGTCCTTTGTCCCTCTTTGGGGGGAAACTCCCACTGGGTTTATATCTGGGACTCTCCACCATTTGACCTTAGAACTGAAGAAGCTTCTCAGATGAGAGCTGAAACGTCTTCAAGCAACTTAAAGAAGTCCAGACGCTTTTCTTTCCAAGCTCCTTAAACTACGATGACCTGGATGACTGAGAACCTTCACAGACAGAAATGCTTGTGGTTCTTCAGTTGATTCATCTACTGTTTACTAAAGCCTCACCATAAATGGTCTCAGTTGAAGGGTTGCTGTCAAGAAGCTATTCTTAAGAAAGCAAAAGAGGAGAAAAAGACTGAGGTATGACGAAATATATAGGAACTAGACTTAAAATCAAAGGCATCAGGTCATATAGTGCGATGATTAGGTCCAATTTCAGCCAGCGGTGCTCAGGAACTTTTCAAGATGTTATTAAGAATGTTAAAGCTAAAAATTGAAGCATTGTGCAATGAGCTTGACAGAGAACGGAACAAAGAGGCAGCGGACATCCAAAGAACAGCTTTGAAGGTCCTTCAAGAAGAAAGCTAGCCTAAGAGAGTTCAGGCTGTGTTAGAGAATAAAGGCGGTCATACCACATAATGCTTTTTAAACTCATTAGAATTCACTCTTCATTTTACAGCAACTTTACAGCTGAACTGGGTTTAGAGTATGAAGTGCATTTCAGCTGTTTTTGTACAAAAAAAATATCACCTCGGGCACATTGAGTACACCTGGGCCATTTTCAGTTGTTTTGTTAGTTTAACAGTTTTTAGAAACAACTAATAATATTCATACTCTAAACCTAAAACCATTAGAGCCACTTATTTTAATGAACATTTCAGACAGACAGCTGTTTGCCTTCACTGCTCGTGAGACATAACAGCACACACATATTCACATTAGCTTCATTTTCCAGTACAAATTACGTCAAACACTGGAATTCAGTTCACACAATATCTGACTTCTTCTGAGCTAAATAACAAAGCCGCTCCCTGCAGTAATGACTGCACATTGGGAAGTTTGCTGTCTAAATTGTGTATACCTAACTAGAAGATTTAATTAAAGCTTCTAGGAGATAAGGAAAACAAAGAAGATAAAAGAAAGACATTTTCTCAAGAGATTGGTTTACTTCCAAATAGTCTGGCAACCTGTGCTGCTTTAGCAGGCTGCTAACAGTAAGTGCATCCAGCTTTTTCTTCAACCATGCAAAACCTGAAAAAGCTAGATAGCTGTAGCTAGATTAATGAGAGCCCAGAGCTCTATACATTACATAATCCCATGCAGGTACAGGATATATCGGTCCTCTCTTCGCTCTTCCCAGCTTGTCTCCACAGCTCAGCCTTTAATTAATTTCTCATAACTTTTCACTTTTTCCTTCTACTTCCTTCCCCCTTTTTTGCTTGTTTCATCCTATCCGTTTCCTCCTCCCTCATGCCCCATCTTTTTTTTTTTTGCAACCCCTTTCATCTCCCAATTTTCCTCCGCACACTCAGAGAGACAAATGGCAGCAACAAATGAACATCCTGACGTCAAGTAACAGATGAAATAAAGGCAACAAGTTACACGAATAAATAAACAAATCACCACAAATAAACATCCTCCCTGTCAGACTGCCTCTGGCAGTGAACTACATGGCCCAGCTGCTCCAATCAGGCCCCTCCGTCTTGATCACGTGACGGCAGTGTTCCTCTGCCTTGCTGTGTTCGTGACAGGCAGGGTGAGTAAGAGAAGGAAAGGAGGGAGAGAAGAAACAAAAGGAGCAGGAAAAAGGAGCGAGACAAACCAAGATGTAGTGATTTAAATGATGGGAAACTGGGTGAAGGGGAGAAAGAGCTCCTATGGCACCACGCGAAATAGGAAGAGAAGAGAGAAGAGATTGAGGGAGGAAGCAAGTACAGCCGAGGAAGGAGGGGCAGGAGAGAAATGAGGCTGCGAGGATGTGACGAAGACATCAAAGAGGGGGAGAAAGAGAAATCGAGGATGAGCAGAATGAAACAGGGAGATAGATAGCATGCCTTTGACAAGTGTCGCTGAAGAAAAAAGGGGGAGTAAGTGAAAACAGGGTAATGAAAATTAGAGAAGAAGCTTGCTACTCATCAGGGTATTACAGTGTCTCTCTTAGGAGCACTCTGCCAATGACTTTTTAAGCTTAGATTGTGATGCAAAAGCCAATAAACCAAATGATGAATCTGAAAGCAAAATCTTCCCATTTATTGGGCACTGACACATAGAGACAAGATGATGAATAAGAATGTAGTAAAGCCCAGTTTGAAAAATGCTAAATATGCCCTTATAGAAGCTCTAACTGATGACTACAACTACACTTGAAATACCATTTAAAGACTCAATATATAGCTGCACCTCATTGCTTTAGCCTTGCAGTTCTATAAAGCCGACTGCTTTGAGAGAGACGTATAATAAAAAAAAGGTCAATATCGAAGCGTGAGAGGCCAAGTTGAGATTCTCTTCGGAATAAATATGTCAGATAGCCGAACGCTGATAGAGCCCCCCAATATGTAATAAGAACTGTTGGGACCAAGCTAAAGTTGGCGGTGTAGTATTGTATGAGAAATGGGGAGCAAATGCATTTGGAAGCAAAATCTGACCACTGAGCAAATGAAAAAAGTTCAAAATAGGTCACATGATAGCATTTATTAATACTTCGATTCAGGGAAAATTCATTTTGATATTCTGGAAAAATAAATTACAACAAAAATTGGCCAATATTGTGCAAAGAACACGTACACGAAGACGTCGTCATTACTTACAGATGAAGTTTTTTAAAAGTCACTTTGTTCATCATCACACTAGCATTGAAAATTTAGCCAGTAAAAAGTTAACGTCCATTTGCCACTGGCATTGGTGGATGACACATGTCCATCAATAAGAACTGGCCTAGAGGCCGGTGGGTAACCCTGAAGCATCCTACGGTCACTAAGGAAAATCTACACTCCCCTCTGATCAGCTAATGGTTGCTGGAAGTTGCTGTTGGCAGGTGAAATCAGTTGCAAAGAGGGCGCTGCACCAAAAACCTCCTTGTGAGTCCGTTGGTTGCTCACAGAGTACTATAGTTTGCATGGAAGTTATCAGCTTGTCAGCAAACACTTGCTTTAGCTGTAGTGATACTTGGAAAAAAGTGTGACGCAAACCAGAAACGTTTGCCTTTAAAAAAGAAGGGGGGGGGAGGGTTCTTCGGTGCTGCAGCCGACATATTTCGTTAGGTGAAACTTTGGAAAACAAACAAAAAAGTCTGAATCTTCGGTGCAAACTATATGCAACAATCTGCTACTTGGTCATAGCAACATGCTAGCGAACAAACTGGGGACTGTCACCAACCTCCAGTAATCACTCAGCATATTTTTGCCTAGCCACCGGTAGTTACCAAGGAGACACCAGCTGACTTTAGTCCTACATGTCTGGGGCTTTAGCAATCTATTTCACAGCAGCTGCCAGCAGCTTCTAGCATCCACCCGAAACCAGATAGGGGAAAAACATGTATTCCCTGGTGGTTGCCAGATGGTCGCTAGGCCTATTGTATATTACCCAAAATGCTCAAGTAATGTATCAAACCCACTGTTAGACTTACTGAATATAAAATCCAGTCTGATGGATAATATTTCCAACATATTGCTGTACTTACATTTAAAACACTGACTTATCAGTACTTACCACCTAGATGTTTAATGTGTCACCAGCTTAATCAGTGGTTACATTAAACCCGCCCCTCGTTATATATCCTAATGTTTTTTTTTTGGTTGTTTTTTTTTTAAAGAGGCCATCTCATCATTCCACACAGCGTTCAAGCACTGACACTTCAAAACTCTAAATGAGCAAATAACTGTACAATGGTGACACATTGTCAAGCAGAAGGAACTGTCTAAAAGAGCTTTTTTTTAATGATGAGTCACATCTCACATCTAAAAATAATGTGTACCAAGATGATGTTTTACAGCTGCAGTATTTTTGATGTTGCTTTGTAGTTTATAGTTACTGTTTATAGCAATTTTCTTGCATAAAATAAAAAGTTTGGCTCAGTGGAAGTAAAAGTGACATAGTAACTCACTACAAGTGATCTATGATGTAAAAACATACAATCACGGCACATCCATGGCCACTGTCTCCTGTTGTTGTTTTCTTTTATTTGTTTTCCATCTAGTATTTTTAGCTCTAGGCTTTTCAAATAATACTGGAGCAAAATTAGACAACACAATCTCATAAGTGACGGTTATGAAACCACATAATATTATAAAGGAAATTATCATCTAGAAGAAGTGCTAGTGGAGTGCTATATTGCAAACAATGTACTGTTTGGACTGAAGCATAGACGTATTTTGGATGAGAGCTGAGAGGCAGGGTACACCCTGGATCTGAGGAATGGCTCCATTTCTCTCTTTCAGATGTAAAATAAAGTATGTTGGATTAATTGGTTTTTGTTTTGTTTGTTTTTTTGTCACTTACTGCACTTTTCTTGAGGAGGCACATGTTCAAAGAGAAACCACGTGATGTCTGTTTCATCACCATTGCAGATGCTGAGAGCATGTGCAGCAGTTCTGATTCTCAGAATGGTTTTCACTCTGGCTGTGGGTGGAAATAAAGTGTTCAGTGACATTTCCTATTGCACATCCTATCAGTGTAGTCTTAAACTCACTACACATGCATGCGAGAGTCACATTTCACTTATCTTGGAGGACACGCCCAGGATCACACTAGCAGGCAGTAACACTAATTAACAGAAGGTAACAGTCCCATTATGGATGAGTGTCAGGAAAAATGAGCGAGACAAAAAGGTCGGGCAAGAAGAAAGCATGAGATAAAGGCAGAAAGAACATGAGTGTATAAACTGATCTGAGACTGTGATGCAGGATATTTTGTCTGAGATGTGTGTCTCTGTGTGAGAGGGAGAACGAGTAAAACACAAAGAGAGATGGAGGAGAATAACACAAAGTGTCCTGAGACATCTCTCTGATTAAGGACCTTCAGCTAACACAGTAATTAAAAATTCAGGAGCTGCACAACTCTTACACACACACACACACACACACTTGCCCAATTACAAACACGCATGCATTCAGCTCCACACTCATTTCAACACTTTACACTCTGGTTGTTCACTTATGGTAAATTAACACTCAAAACCATATTTCCATCATGTTCATTTGCCAAACAAGGGTCATATGCATGAATTTACCACTTTATGCAGAAGCCCAGATTATCACGCAAAGACAATGCATGCACGCACACTCCCTCACCTCTACAAAGATGAAACATGGGATGATGGAGTAGCTGCGCAGGGTGTTGTTAGACGCCATCTTGTCTCCTGTCGGGAGACTAACGTTCTCAGGATTCACTGCAGGGTCACTCTGCAAAGACAGAAACATCAAGTGTCAGCTGCCATCATCTGATAATGACAGAAATGCATCTACTTCATCTATTTTATCAGGAGTCCTCAGCAAGATCGGCTATTGATGAGAACCATGTTAACTATTACTATTTTTTTTGCATTTACAAAAGATAATAAATAATTTAAAAGCAGATAAGAGATTGCTTTGTTACATTGCAGAAACTAAATTAGAGTTCTACTTGTCAAAAAAAAAAAAAAACACAAAAAAACACTGCACACAAAGATTGTGGTTCGCCAGCTCCTTCCGAGGGATCCCCACAATTCCCAGATCTCTTAGGAAATTCAATCCCTGTGTTGTTGCCAAGGTCAGCCCTTGGGTCTTTTACCAGCCAGCTATGCTTCCTGTCTATTTTTGTCAATCAACATAAGGCACCTAAGAAAGCTGTTTGGCCTTAATGACTGCAAGAGAAACAGTAAGAATTGTCTTGTGTGCAGGTGCAGTTTTCCATATCTAAAAATCTCCTAAGGCCTCAAACACCATGGAGAAAAACTGATCCCCTCTACTATGCAGCTGTATGTCACTTGAGGTCAATAAGCATCTGGTCTTCAGATTCCAAATGTTTCTGAGTGAGAAAAGAAGAGTTGCCATCACTTTATATTCACTCCAATCGAGTCACCGCAAAGTTGTGGTCATTTTCATAAGAAGTCCCCTACGTGATACAGAAGCTGTGCCGTGTGATGCTAAAATTAGCAGGGAAAAAGCAACGGAGAGCACGTCAGGGATGACGAGAAAGTGACAGGAGAAAATCCGTTCCGGTCAACCACCCAAACACCAATAACGGGAACCTTATGCAGCGCTTCCCTATACACATCGAACTCAAAGAAATTACGGAGGCTATCACTTATCACCTGACCAAAGATATGGCTCCCATCAACACTGTGCAAAACGAGGGATTTAGGAAAATGATCAACACCCCAGACAAATGCTACACAGTGCCGTCCCGCAACTATTTTTCTATTGTTGCACTACCTGCTCTATACACGCAGCGTCCAGCAACGGTGGAGACGGAATTTCAAGCAGTACAACATTTTGTGGCAACAACAAAACGTGAGACATTTGTTTTTGTGTTTATTTATTGTTTTTATGTTCAGTCTCAACTGTTACGAAGTTGATGTGCAGTTAATAAGTGCAATAAATATTTATACTGGAAAAGAAAATCGTGAGAGAATCGTGATCTCAATTATAAGCCAAAAAATCGTGATTCTCATTTTATGCAAAATCGTGCAGCCCTACTGTAGAGATTTTTTTATGTCTGTCACTTTTGCCCAAATTGTTATTTTTTGTTATTATTTAAATATTGCTTATGCCACCAACAAATTATTTATTTTTGTGATAGGCTGTTAGCAACAAAAGTGCCTAAAGATATCATTTAAAATAGCTTCTTCGCTAAATACTCTGTTCTGTGTAGACTAAACAGGTCAATCCCTCAAGTTAGTTGCCTTAAATGATTCAAGCTAAGCCACTTAACTTGACCTAGCTTAACCAAGAAAAAGGAAATACTCTTTTTAGACTAAAAAAGGGCGAAAAAGCAGCCAACGTCCAAAGTTGTTTGAAAAAACATCAAAAAGCTTGAAGAACTATTGCTCATGAACACGTCTGGTTCCTTTGAAGCAAAATGAGGGTTGGCTCAAGACTTTTGCACAGTCTTCACTTTTTGTTAATTTTCTTAGCTGGTTTTTAGCTAATTTCTCAGTCTGGGTAAAGCTCTTTAACTGTATTTTTAACAGCACAAAGCCCAATACAAAACACATCTTCAGAAAGCATTTACTAATCCTGTCAGCTTTGTTCAGTTGAGAACAAAAGCAAATTCTTAATGAAACAACACGGCAGTATTAACCTTATTAATATAATTCAATTTAACTTCTGAAGCCGCGCTGATGGAGCCAATCTTCTGCACTCGAACTGCCGCTGCTTCCGTTCTCCTTCTGTCAATCTGTCGTGTTCTTTAACTGCATTTCATTATGGCTTCTAATTGTCGAAAAACAATAACATAGCTATTCCCCACAGAGAACAGCAAGCTCACTAGTGAGCGTGAGAAACAAATATGTAGTGAACAACAGAATACTGGAAAAACAAAAACAGCAGTGTCATTTGATTTTCTGCATCCAAACCAGTCTGATATGGCTTTCAGTTTCCAATTGCAGAACACTGGCATCGCAAGAGGTGCCTTACAGTTTCAGTGGGTGTAGATTAGGCAGGATTAAAAAGTGGTTAAGGAAATCCAGAAATGTCAGTATCTGCTGGAGTAATTGTTGATTTATTCGTGTTAATCAACAAAGCTCTGACCTCACGCAGATATTTAATGTGTCTTATTGGCTTGTAATCGCTCCTAAATCCTCATTAAAGGGTAACCTTGCTAATTTGAGCTTCTCTCTATCTACAGCACAATTCTGAATCATGAAAGGCTGGAGGAGCATGAACGCAGGGGTCTGTTACAGAGCAAAGTTGGAGAGAAAAATAGCAGTTATTTAATTTGTGCTTTCTTAGTTTCTTCCTCTTTTTCTATCTTTTATCTAAACTATTCATCATAAATGAACACCTGCTACAGAAAGATTAGATGGTAGAATTATACTACTTCTGCTACCTCATATATATTCATACATATAAATATCTTATGAGCGCCTCAACAATTTAATATTTGAGGCTGTGTGCTCTCCTGTTTCAGAAATTTTTATAATAATATTCTTAAAAAGCTGCTACAAGTAAAGAATTAGTATAAATTAATACTTTCACATTTTGTTGTACGGTTGTTTATCAGGTTGTGACCAAGTTTGGATTCACACTAAATCAATCACATTTCTCTACGAAAGCACAGATGAGAGCAGGTGAGACAAGAAAAAAAAAAAGAGACCATGTGACATTACTTCCAACAAACGTAGCAACCTACAAGTTGTTTCAGGCTTTCACTATGCGTGATTTTCACTACACAAACCTGAACTAAAAGAATTCATCAAATTCATCATTAATTCAAAAGCAACTTATATTAGACTGAGCGTAACAAGGTAAGGGCCTAGAAACATGACTGCAAAAATAGCTGCTCAATTAAAAAACAACTAGACACTAACACAACCAAACAAATATGTGTGCTATTGATATAATGTTTAAAAATTTCGTTTTTGAACATTATAGTCAACATCAATACTGGTGAAAGGCTAAAACTGTTTCACTAGGTTCCTCTGAGAGAAGTGTTACTCAAATTACAAATGCATGGCAGTGGGTGCATTAATGAAAACTTCAGAGAACATACAAATGCATAAGGCCAAACACACAAAGCCATTAACTTGCATCTATTAAAAATCATATTTATTTTTAGTATGCAATTCAGAATGAGATGCAATTTTTCAGATGATAATCTCTATAGTCAAGAATCAAGCAAAAAAAGAAAAAAACCTCACAGAGACTGCAGGGAAATCGTACAGTCTGGTGACAAGAGTCACAGCTAATGCAAGGATTCTGGGTGGTCTGTTAACTCATTCCAGTTTGCTATAGTATCACTAGTGAAACTAGATGTTACACAGCAGGCTTAAACAACCATCAGGCCACTGAGAAATGTCCCAGTGCTCCCAACTGGCGAGCAGTCACTGCGGTTAATGATCACATGACCATGCATCCTATATGTGTTTAAAGCTACAGTAGGCAGGAATCTATACACATCCTCCTGCAGCAGTTCTCTCTCCCCTCCCTCGTCTAAGCCCAGAGATGCACACATATGCAAGTGCTTCATGAACTTTCCTTTTCCAGATTAAAGACTTCGTCAGATCTGGTCCTGAAAAGCAATATCCTAAATTCTCCCATCAAGGACTAGATTTTCTAAAAACAGAGCCCAGAGGAAGTGCGGGAGAACATCATAAGTACAATATACGCCAAAATGTTTTTTGGGGGGATTTTTTCCCAAATGATGCCAAAAAGTATACAAAAATACAATAGTCTCTGCATTTCTTCCTCCCACTTTCTAAAAGAAGTGCCTCCCAGCAGAAGCTTTATATTAAAAGAACAAACAGGAAGGTGCATCAATTTTTAAACGCAGGGAAACAAACAGATGAAATACCCAGAATTTCAAGCTTTTACCTTAAAGGTCATGAATAAAGTAAGTAAACTGTACACAATGAATTAAGATTTAATTTGATTTATGAGATTTATAGTTGTTAATGTATAGATTAATTATTATCCATTAACAATTTATTAGATAAATATATTAACTACAAATTATTAAAATAACTAATAGCTTGTTAAAGGGACATAGCAGTTCAGCAGTTAGCTCAAAGATTTTTTTCTCATTTTATTACATTGCCTCAAGTTGTCTATATGCTGAAAAGATACAGTAAATGTTTAGTTTAATGCCTTTACTGGAACACACTACCAGACTTTGTTCAAGATGTCAACATACCCACCATACTCCTAATTGTTTTGTAACTGCATTTGTCCCTGTGTGGTATTAGACTACAAGGAACAGACTCCAACAGCACGACATTTAATAGTGATGCTGCACTTACTTCAACTAAATTGAGAGTGATTCAATGTGAACCTACTAATATTAAATTTGAAATTCAAATGCATCTTTACCCTTCATACTTTTTTACTTATGCATGTCACAAAAAGTTAATTAAGATCTACAATCACTAGACACTTTATTAGGTATATCTGGTACATATTTGACACACTGTTAGTTCCCCTTAGTTCCTTGTGTTCTTGAACACCGCCTCACTGTACATAAATGGCCTCCACAGATTTCAGTCAGATCAGGATGGGAGATGGGAATGGGTAGATTCAGATCATGGATGTGCAGCCGACAAATC